CAGCCCTCCCTGCCTCAAAGAGATGCAACATGTTAGCCCACCAAGGACCAAACGCGCATGCGCATAAGTTCCGTCTCCATAGTGAGGAATCTGTGCTGTGTGCCCACCATTTGTTCAGTGGTTCAAAGTTTTATCGCCATCACATCCCTCCTTACATAGCTAGGCATTTACATGCAGCGGCACAGACCGGCATGTACCTCACGCACACTACATGCCGGCGCATGAACATGCAGGCACGGCCACACACACCAGGGCCCAGTTCCATACAGCGCAACATACCGAAGGTCCTGAGAACTGGCCTACGGCACCTCACTACTCTCCCCAGAAGATTGCCTGCATCCAACCGCTCCCCTCTGACCTCCCCCTCACAGACCCTGCAGACAGCGACTACAATCCCCTCAGCCTCCAATGTCCCAAACCCTTATCCTCTCACTACTCTGAGGCCACTGTGACCAGACTAGGCCTAACACAGTAGGCCGCGCTCAGGTGGATCCAACAGGGCCGTCGACACACCTTCGCCGTACCCTATCTTGGCAGCTCCGAGGGACCCAGCCTGCTCCCCAAAGGCGAACCAATGTCCCCTACCTGATTGTTCACTTTCCCTGACTCTGCTCTCCTCAGGACTCCCAAGCACGAAAGTCCAAACACACCTCAGCGGAGCGGGCAAAGAGATGCGTGAAGCTCTGAATCAGCCGACGAACTCCCAGAAACCCCTATTTCTCCCAGAAACCTCCTCTGCATCTTGAAGAAAATTCTGGACCGTTCCATGGAAGATGATTGGATCAAAAGCTCTCGGAGGCGGAGCCAATGTTAACAGGGAACTAATTAACCAATGTGAAGGCGTAACATGGCAAAGCTCGCGATGTCTAGAAGTTATAGACACGCTCATTGGTCCTTCTTCCAGTCATTTGGGGGGAGGTGTAAAGAAGCTGCTGTACACCAAGGCTGACTACAATCGCTCTTGAAGCTTTCATATTTAGTGGAAAAATATAAATTTTATGGGTTCCCAATAAATTTGCCCACATATCATGATGACATGTAATCTTAGTTATTAGTTGGGGATTTTTGTTTGTCCATTTGTTCGTTTTCCGAGACAGAGTTTCTCTGTGGCTTTGAAAACCGTCCTGTAATTCGCTCTGTAGACCAGGCTAGTCTCTAAATAATAAATGTTCACCTGCCTCCTGAGTGCTGGGATTAAAAGACTGCGCCACCACCTTAGTTGATAGTTTTTATCCTTTATTTTCTATTATTAACATGGTTTTTGGAGTTGACGTTCATGAAGCTCCAGGTTTGATCCTCAACTCAGCACAAACCCAGGAATGCTGGTGGACACAAGTCATCCCAGCACTTGGGAAGTAGACGCAGAAAGATCGGGAGTTTAGGGCCATCCTCAGCTACATAAAGAGTTAGAAGCCAGCTTTGGTTACGTTCCTCTGTCTGAAAAAAAAAAAAAAGGAATAAAAAGTTATTCATTGTCCGGTGCGATAGTACAAACCAACAAGTCTAGATATTAGGAATGCTGGGTTAAATTAGTCAAAGCCAGATTGCACAATTAAGAAAGACTCTGATGAAATAAAGAAGAAAAAGAAAATGAATGAGGGTAGCACTCACGAGCATGGTGCTTAACTCCATTCACAGGGCTTAGGTTCAATTCTCACGGTCCCAGGAAAGGGACAGGGGTAGCTATTTCCATTTTCTTAGACTTACTGTTTGTGTGTTGTATTATTGTGCATCTCTTACTATCACCCCTATTGGAATACTTTGACTCCATAGAGTCCAAAAGCTTTAGTGTTTTTTTCCACCCATACCAAACTTTGGATACTTCTGCCTCAATCCCGGAGTAGCTACATTTACAGGCTTGTACCATCTGACTTGGCCTATATTTTTCTTCAAGATTTTTATCCTCCAGTGCTTTTTTTTTTTATCTCTCCTGGGATTCTTTATACACACTTATTAGACTTTATATTTCTCTACAGAGCATCACAGGTCTATTATTTTCATTTCTTTCTTCCTTTCTTTTTCTTTTATTTAAGTCTCTTATCCTCTCAGCTTTCCATAATGGATAATTTCTCTTCATCTATGGTTCAGGATTTTTCTATTCCTTTTTCTATGATCTATAACCTGTTAGAATGATCAGATTAAAACTATAATATTAATTTGTGGATTAATAATCAATTTTTTCATCTTTGACTGGGAGGATTGTTTTAGAAAGACTCTCAGTATATAGCCCTAAGATGTTCTGTAACTCACTAAGGAACCCAGCCTGTTCACACAATTTCTGCTGTCCTTCTATCTTGGCCACTGGAGTACTGAGTTTACAGACATATATCAGTATACTGATCATATCTGATCCTTTTCAATACTTTTTCTCTGATGAAATTTTTTCAAATCATTATGAGTATGATTTATGTCCTTAATGACATATTTTAAATCTTTTTACTTGTAAACTAGCATACAAATTATTACACACCATTGTGGAATTTTTTAATACAAATGTTTTTAGTAAATTATCCCTCTAGCCACTCAAATTCATGCTTGTAACATCCTCTTAGTTTCTTTTCCTCTTTTATGTCCCCTGTCTCATCCTTCTTACCACCTATTTTTACCCTCACATGGTCTACTTTCTAGTTGTTGCGGGTTTTTTTTTTTAAGGTTTTACCGAAATTTACACTTTACATTTATATGTTACATGTATATAGTACAAGTTAGGTACCAAATATGACAGACAATCCAATTTTTACTTGCTACGTTTGAGTCACATAACTTATATTTTCCAAATCCAACTATATTTCCTGAAATTTTCATTTTTCTTTACAGTGGTGTAAAATTCCGTTGTGTATCCATTCATTTGTTGATGTATATCTAGACTGTTTCCTTTTCCTTGTTATGATACATAGAACACCAATAAACATGGATATGGAGTATCTCTATCTGATATGGAGTCCTCTGCTTACATGTCCAGGAGTGGCATAGCTGTGTCATATAGTAGTTGTATATTTTACTGTTTTGGATAAACCACCATAC